CCTATTGCTGACCACAAATTATCTATAATTGCACTAACTCACTAACTAGCAAAGGATAACTCCCAGTTACAAAAAAATACAACATAAGCAACTACTTTATTTTCCAAAAACAAATAGAAAAAGACATCCAATTAAATATTTACATGACAAGACAACATTAAGAAAAATATGAAAACCAAAGACTGAACATGTAACAAAAAATGACATTAAAAACGAAATGTAGCATTAAAGAAATTGTCAAATATGCAGCTATTTGCAAGACTAATGCTTTATATATTACATTGTTTTTGTTATTAGCACACAGTAATTTTTAAACAATTCTTAAAAATAGATTTCTATCATACCTGGGAAAAAAAGGAACAAATTCTAGCATATAACCAATGTGCAAAAGCAGTCAAGTCTCCAAGTGTTACAAAATTCAAAGCCATTCTTGGACAAGTGGCAGTAGAGAGGAGAATATAAAAGCATTGAGGTGGTCATCAGAGCTGCTGTCAGAGTTGTCACTGTCCAGGGCCGAGAGTCGCCGGAGCGGTCTTAGACGGGGCAGAGGCCTTGGACGGGCCCTCCGAGTCGCTGGAGTCAAACGACGGGACCTTCTTGCCGGCGGTTTTGGCAGCTGGCTTGGGCTTGGACAGAGCTTCCATGATGGACGGCTGCTTTGCATCTGGAGGGGATGACGGGGAGATACACAGACAGGGTTAGGAGTGTATTCTTCATAATGTTTTATACGCTCAAAGCATAATCTCTCAATATATCATCCATGATACAACATTATGTAAATGTACATGTACAGTATAACAATCTGTTTTATTACTCATTGACGCAATAAATTGATTAACGCAGAAAGCTAATTTCACAACTACTGCGGTGTATCAGTACAGGGTTGGAGGGGCTGTTCTACAATACCTTCAGCCGCCTTCTTTGGGCTTCTTGGCGGCGGCTGGTTTCTTGGGGGATGCCCCTTTGGCTGTCATGAATCCCGCTTCCTGAGTCTGTTTCTGCCTGAGTTGCCTGTTTTCTGTCTTGGAGTCTGTTTCCTGAAGGTTCCTGAATGCACCCTGTCTGGTTGCCGGGCGACGAAGCTAGGCGGGAGATCTCTTGATTACCCGCACCTGCATCTCATCAGCTATCTGCACACCTGGTCCTGATCATCACGTCTTCACTTCATAAGCTCTGACCTGACATCCATTCCGTGCCGGATCGTTAGCCATGAACAGTATGTTGTGTCAGCGTATCAGCCTCAAGTTTTCTAGAGTTAGTTTTGTTGTTTTGTACTTTTTGTTTGCCGTGTACTTACCTCCGTTTACTCTGTCTACAGTTACTCTCCCGGAACATTCACTCCACCCTTGCCTGGTCGTCAGTGGGTTCTATAACATCATTGGATCTGCCTATTCACTTCCACCAACTCACCTCCGCTGCCCGCTCCGTCTCCTGAATTATCCTGCTTCCACATTTGAGTCGTTAAATAAATACTCCCCTTCTGTCTACTCACCTTGTCCTGGTCTGCTTCTGGGTTCTGCTTTAGAGAATCGTGACATTGGCCTTGGCTAGAGGCTTGGAGGCCATCGCATCATCGGCATCAGACTGAGCTGCAGAACACAGAAACAAGTTCAGTTTCCATTTTCAACTGTGCTAGTCCAAGAATCTCCTCAGACGTCTGCGACAGTGTGCTGTCAACGCAGAATGTTCTATTCTGAATGTCAGCACCCTGTTTAATTGTGGCAAACTTGTGAAGTTGGATAAATTCTGTTATACAGTTCAGATGGTGTGGTGTAGTGATTTTGATTTGATCACTATTGATCCCCGGGGGAGAATTAGGTGTGGAATCTACTTACAGCTGGATTTGCTTTTGGCTTTTACCGTTGTTGATAGAGAAACAGGCTTCTCAATTAAGGAAATGTGCACAGAGACAAGATGATTGCTTGCTTAGGCTTAAGTCTCTTCATTACCCCCTCAAAAAAAATAATTACCAGTGTCACCAGGCTTACAAAACTCCTGTTAAACTATACTGTATAAAGACTCACGTGGGCTCAGGAGCCTTAGGGGGTGGAGAGTCCACCTCACTATCGGCTGCAGCGCTGGGCTCGGGGACAAAGCTGTCGTCATCGTCACTGATGGCTGCTGCCTTCTTCTTGGGGGCGCTCTTCATACAGTCATCAAACTCATCCTCACTGCTGGGCATGCTGTACTTCACAGCTGCTTTGGGAGGAGAAACACCTGTTGCATTATCACTGCAGGAACACTAAACACAAACCCGTGACGAAAGCAGCTTGTTAATTAATGTATTGAATCGGAGCCACAAAGTGCAGCTAGCTGGCAACATTTTATTTTGACTGATCAGGTCACCCATCAACTTAGTGCAACATGCTGGTGTAAGTAGGCATCCTTTTCTACGCTTGTAGAAAATAGCAACTGTTAGACAAGACATTGCGGTTAGATTGTGTTAAAATAACAGCATCCTGTATCGATGTCGGGAAGTAGGACACAGTCATGGGAATGTCCTCTAATTCAACATACTGTAAATAATCAAGCTATCTAATATATGCCTAATCAGAAGTGAGTAGTACAGCTTATTGCTCAGACAAAGTGATGCTATACCACCATCAGCACGTTTTGGTTGAGTTTCCAAAGACCCCCAATCATGAGCCACAACAAGTAGCCAGACATAACACTTTGGGGCATCGGGACTGTACCTACCATCTTATTATTGCCTGGTAGGCTTGATGTACTACACGTGAGCATGGGATGCCAATGGGCATATAAGGAGGTGACTGCTGGATAATGCAATCGTCGATTTAGAACTCAGTTTGGATGGCTCAGACCACTCAGATTGGATTGGGGCAGTGGTCTGTGTGTGTACAGTCGTGGCCAAAAAAAGTTTTGAGAATGACACAAGTATTGATATTCACAAAGTTCGCTGCTTCAGTGTTATGACATTTTTGTCAGATGTTACTATGGTATACTGAAGTATAATTACAAGCATTCCATAAGTGTCAAAGGCTTTTATTGACAATTACATTAAGTTTATGCAAAGAGTCAATATTTGCAGTATTGACCCTTCTTTTTCCAAGACCTCTGCAATCCGCCCTGGCATGCTGTCAATTAACTTCTGGGCCACATCCTGACTGATGGCAGCCCATTCTTGCATAATCAATGCTTGGAGTTTGTCAGAATTTGTGGGTTTTTGTTTGTCCACCTGCCTCTTGAGGATCGACCACAAGTTCTCAAGCCACTTAGTTATCACTTTTTCCTTATGGCAAGGTGCTCCATCATGCTGGAAAAGGCATTGGTCATCACCAAACTGTTCTTGGATGGTTGGGAGAAGTTGCTCTCGGAGGATGTGTTGATAACATTCTTTATTCATGGCTGCGTTCTTAGGCAAAATTGTGAGTGAGCCCACACCCTTGGCTGAGAAGCAACCCCACACATGAATGTTCTCAGGATGCTTTACTGTTGGCATGACACAGGACTGATGGTAGCGCTCACCTTGTCTTCTCCGGACAAGCTTTTTTCCGGATGCCCCAAACAATCGGAAAGGGGATTCATCAGAGGAAATGACTTTAACCCAGTCCTCAGCAGTCCAATCCCTGTACCTTTTGCAGAATATCAGTCTGTCCATGGTGTTTTTCCTGGAGAGACGTGGCTTCCTCGCTGCCCTTCTTGATACCAGGCCATCCTCCAAAAGTCTTCGCCTCAGTGTGCGTGTAGATGCACTCACACCTGCCTGCTGCCATTCCTGAGCAAGCTCTGCACTGGTAGTGCCCCGATCCCGCAGCTGAATCAACTTTAGGAGACGGTCCTGGCGCTTGCTGGACTTTCTTGGGTGCCCTGAAGCCTTTTTCACAACAATTGAACCTCTCTCCTTGAAGTTCTTGATGATCCGATAAATGGTTGATTTAGGTGCAATCTTACTAGCAGCAATATCCTTGCCTGTGAAGCCCTTTTTGTGCAAAGCAATGATGACGGCACGTGTTTCCTTGCAGGAAACCATGGTTAACAGAGGAAGAACAATGACTTCAAGCACCACCCTCCTTTTAAAGCTTCCAGTCTGTTATTCTAACTCAATCAGCATGACAGAGTGATCTCCAGCCTTGTCCTCGTCAACACTCTCACCTGTGTTAATGAGAGAATCACTGACATTATGGCAGCTGGTCCTTTTGTGGCAGGGCTGAAATGCACAAAAGGACCAGCCCATTTTGGGGGGGAATTAAGTTAATTTTCATGGCAAAGAGGGACTTTGCAATTAATTGCAATTCATCTGATCACTCTTCATAACATTCTGGAGTATATGCAAATTGCCATCATATAAACTGAGGCAGCAGACTTTGTGAAAAGTAATATTTGTGTCATTCTCAACTTTTGACCACGACTGTACATGTGCTGGCAGTCAGTCAATTTCATTTAAAAAGTGAACCCAGACCTTTCTCTGTCCAGTTTCAACTGAAATTGTCCAACATGAACTCAGCTGGTTGCTAGCTTGGTTAGCTAGCTAGCTAGGTAAAACAATTACCAAACGTTCGGATAAACAAATCATTTATGAACCAATTATGTGATGCATGACAGGATTGGCTGTTGCATGCAATTGCAACTGCGTTTGAATTGCTTCATATAGCCACAAAGTTGCTTGAGATGTCACTTGCAACTTGCATCTGTAACACAACTGTGATCCTCTGTAGCTCAATTGGTAGAGCATGGCGCTTGTAACGCCAGGGTAGTGGGTTCGATCCCCGGGACCACCCATACGTAAAATTGTATGCACACATGACTGTAAGTCGCTTTGGATAAAAGCGTCTGCTAAATGGCATATTATTATTATATTATAAATGGAGTCCAAATTGCTTCGTGTGGCACAGGCTTTACAGTCCTTCACAGATGGAGAAACTACTTCTAACAGAATCATTGATACTGAAAGATATTCTTCAGACAATCAAAATATTGGCTGATTGAGAAACATCTTTGTTTGGTTTTGTCATGTAGTACACTCAAATGAGTGTAAATGGTCAAGTTACCAGGGTAATTGCTTCGTCGTCAACAGGTCCTGCATTTTTGAAGGGGATGCGACGTCTCTGCATGTCGGAGAAGTACTCCTTAGCCTCCTTCGAAGTGCTGGTACCCAAACCTGGACAGTTACAGGTGCTGATGTTTGGCTGAGTTTACACAAGCAGCACACGTCTGATCTTTTTCTCACTAATTGATCTTCTGACCAATCAGATCAGCCCTAAAAAAATTCTGACGTGACAAATCTCCCGAGTGGCGCAGTGGTCAAAGGCACGCAGTGCTAGCTGTGCAACTAGAGATCCTGGTTCGAATCCAGGCTCTGTCGTAGCCGGCCGCGACCGCGAGACCCATGGGGCGGCGTGCAATTGGCCCAGCGTCATCCAGGGTAGGGGAGGGAATGGCTGGCAGGGAAGTAGCTCAGTTGATAGGGCATGGCGTTTGCAACGCCAGGGTTGTGGGTTCGATTCCCACAGGGGGTATGGAAAAAAAATTATGTATGCACTAACTGTAAGTCGCTCTGGATAAGAGCGTCTGCTAAATGACTAAAATGTAAATCTGATGCGATTGGTCATAAGACTAATTAGTGAAAAAAAGGGTCAGAATTGGGCTGCATGTGCAGAAGCATATCTAAATATATGGGGTTTATTGTAAAATACCACCTTCAAAAGTAGCAGGTATGTGAAAGATATGACGTGGCTGCTTACATGTTCAGCTTCACTACCACAGGGGACAAACCTTTGTAGTATTTTGTTTTCCAAGATTTGATGTTGGGCTGCTTGTCCTTCCACTCGTTGAACTCTGGGATGCTGTAAAAGGGCAGCTCATGCTTCTTGTTGGTGGCCTGGAAGAATTCAAATTGAGTATAGAGTTTTAATTGTTACTGCTTAGGTGAGTGTCAAATCAAATGGACCTGCAATAACCTCAAAATGCTTGCTACTGTAAAACTGTGTTTATTACATTAACAATATATCACCAACAGATGACACTGGTGTTACATGTAAAGACTAGTTCAGGATACTGTACATGGAAAGCTTCTACATTGTTGTTGTCTTAGTTCTAGTTCAACCTAAGAGTTGACATGGCTGTATTAAATATAGCTGTATTCAAATGAGATTTTTCACTACAGGGAGTTGCCTTGAAGTATCAGTGCACAAAACAGCAACCATTAGTCTGTCAGACTGTACCATGTTCCTTGATGATGGGGATGGGGATGATTAACTCCTCTAGGAAGTTCAGCGAAGGCCAGTTGTGGTGGATGAATTTGATGAGCAACCCCTTGATGTGGGAGCCGTCCAGGTCCTGTCCAGTCAGACAACCAAACAGGAGAGATCAATGATGTGAGCAATTGTCGGTGAAACAACTAGTCTACTGTGGACTCTGACTAGAGTATTATGGCTACGTCTACACAGGCAGGCAAAATGTTTTTTCCCTGCTAATTGGTCCTCTGTAGCTCAGCTGGTAGAGCATGGCGCTTGTAACGCCAAGGTAGTGGGTTCGATCCCCGGGACCACCCATACACCAAAAAAAATGTATGCACGCATGACTGTAAGTCGCTTTGGATAAAAGCGTCTGCTAAATGGCATATTATATTATTATTATTTTGACCAATCAGATCAGCTCTGAAAAATATCTGACGTGATTGGTCAAAAGACCAATTGGTGAAAAAAGATCAGAATTGAGCTGCCTGTGTAATCGCAGCCTTTGATGAAAAGTATGATTTTTATTCTAGAATAGAGCTGCTTTACTGGCTAGGTGGAAAATACTGTCTCAATCAATAGGAGGTCATGGCTAAATCAAGGTTACATTTTAAAAGAAATTCCAATGTTCTACACAAATGAGTTTACAGACAAAGCTCTAAATTCCAGTGAGAATTTTCCATTAGACAGTGCAGACCTCATCGGTCATGATCATGAGTTTGCCGTAGCGCAGAGACTTGAGGGACTCTGGGTCGCTGTAGTTCTTCCTGTACTGCAGCCCCAGGATCTTGATGATGTTATTGATCTCAGCATTCTCCATGATCTGATACAGGGGACAGACAGGGATCAAACCATTAACATCTAGTCCAATAGTGAACGACCACAGCAAATGCCAAACTTTCTAGAGGGGAGGGCCCTTTGTAAAACATACGGTATGGTGAGGATTGATTCAACACAGAACAACATTTCCCCACAGGGATAATAAAGTCATTATCAATTGTATTCTCATCAGAGCATTATATAACAATATACAGTACATAACTATGTCTATGATGCTAACCAATTTTCCCTTTAATACAGTTAATACAATAGTCTTAGTAATGTATTGTTTAGGCCTATGTTCTCACCTGCTTGTGCGAGGCCTCCCGCACGTTGAGCATTTTCCCCCTGAGAGGGAAGACTCCGTAGCGATCCCTGCCCACCACACCCAGACCAGACACGGCCAGCGTCTTGGCCGAATCTCCCTCAGTCAGGATGAGAGTGCAGCCATTGGAGTTCTTACCACCTGGTCGTAACAACATGATAACTTAGTCATCATTATTCATATGAAGTCATTACTAAGCAGTGGCTTAGTGGCTCCTGAAAAAATTCTCAGGGGGGGGGCAATTTTTCTGATGATTTAGGTGACCTACACACATTTTTAAAAAGATATGTCCAGCAACAACATGAAGACAGGGGCAGCATATAAGTCAATACCAGAAGCATTTATTGACTGATCTCAAAAGTGTTGGCTTACAAAAGCAAAATAAGTTATCACAGTAAAAATAATCAAGGGTGTTCTTTCACATTCCTCAACACTGCATAAACAATATGTATGGCTTTGTAAAAATGAACAACCATATTCTGGCCAATTGTATAGATTTGTAAATATGAACAACCATATTCTGGCCAATTGTATAGATTTGTAAAAATGAACATGAACAGATTTTTTATTTTTTTGAATGGCAGTACCTTTCAAACATGTCTGCTTGCAGTAAGGTAGCACTCACAAGGTGGCCAGAGAAAGAGAACCTTTCTTTGGTGTGATCCAGGATGGTGTTGCAGACCTCTTCAGACAGCCTCTGCTTCTCCTCTTCTCTCAAAGCTGTTCTGGGTCTTTTGGCTCCTGTTGCTTCTTGCAGCTGCTGTTGAGAGGAGTCCCTGAAGGCAAACAGACCAATGTGTTTGTTGGCTTTGTACAGTATTGTTGTCTATGTGATGCACAGGTATATGCAATGTATCCATGTATAGTACAAATACTTCAGTTCCACTTAAAATGGGCAGGGATGCATAAAGTCTTTAGTGTTTAAGTTAGCCTTTGTGTCTCACATAGCCTGGATGTTCAGCACAGTGCTCATAAGCTTATGATCCCATGCTAAAGTTGACTAAAAAGAGGAATAAAAAATAAAATAAAATTGGTGTCCTTAAAGGTTGGATTTTCCAACTTTTCTAATTAAGTCATTAAGATCAATTTCCAAAAGATGATTTTTTTATTTTTTTATTCCTCTTTTTAGTCAGCTTTAGAATGTGTTCATACACTTATGAGCACCACTGTACAGTACACATAGTATATAAAATAAGATAGATTACACCACTGGCCATATATAATGAGAATAATGTAATTTCAAACACAAATGCAGTCTCCTTTCATGCATACATTTTCAAATAAAGCTCTGCTTTGAGAAAGATCGAATGATATTGTTTAATCTTTATCTTACCTTATGGCCTGCACACTGCTTGCGAAGCTGTCGAGGGCACGTTTGATAAAGACAGCATCGATGTCCTTCTTCTGTAGCTTCTGGTACGGTGGGCTGGTCAAATGAACCCAATGAACCCGTCCGGATGGCTTCAAAACATTCTATGAGGTCGTCTCGATTCTCGTAGACAGTGTTCACGACTCTGCTGTTGCTAACCTCATCGTTGTGGCGGCGGACAGCTAGCCTGTATCCCTCATCCAGTTGAGTGGCAATATTCACTCTCCCCAAAGCAGACTATCTCAAACAGCTATCAATGTGGGTCTTTGACAGCTCATTTTTCTTAATCTTTTCTGAAAGATGGTGCATGTCGGTTACACCAGTCGCTGTCCAAGCGGTGCTGTCTGCCGTGCCGCCTTCAGGGTGAAAGAGTAGTTTCTTAGTTACGTTCATGGTTACGTTACGTTACGTATGACGAAAGCGCGTAAGTGCAAGCCCTCAGAAACCCATAGAGATTGTATTGAAAGCTCTGAAATTTGAAAAAAAAATATTTTACATTAGAGGCTATGAGAGACTTCTGGGCGATTTTCAACCTGACTGAAATCGCCCCAAAACGGGCGGGGACATTTGAAGCACGACTTTAGCCTGATTGGACATTTAGTGGCTGGCAGATCAAACGTCTAGATTAGAACACTGAACTACTGTTGCCGTGATATAATTGATTAGAAAAAAAATCCCTTCCTTTTCCCGTTTGGCAGTGCGTCGCCCATATCGCCCTATTGAACAGACCGCCCCTGTTACTAAGTGCAAAACTTTACCGATTAACAAGTTGATTTATGGTTTCAGTTTTAGACAACTAAGGGGAAGAGTATAAGTAACTAAAAGTGAACTGTAAGGGAGAACCTCTTGAAGATAAATAATGTTCTGCCTTACTGACCAGACATATGACTTAATTAGATTTACCTGCGTCATTGGCGTCATCCATCTTTGGCACGCCCTTGATCTTGGTGTGCTTGATGGCAGAGCACTTCTTGTTGAGCTGCGTCTGGGCCTTGAACTTCACCCAGTTCATGATGCTCTCCACTATCCCACAGGAGTTGGCCTGGGTGACAAAAATAAACCATTTACGAAATGGTTCCAAGCGTATGAGATTTTGTATCAGTGGCCCTGGACATTCTATGGAGAGAATGAACTATGAACTTTGGGTAAGGCTTATTTTACCTGTTTGATAAACTTGTCACAGAGGGGGCAGGTGGAACCGAAGCTCTTCTGCTGCAGGGTCATGTTCTCCTTGGTCTGGGAGTCGAAGGTGGGGTTCTCGATCAGGCAGTTGACAAACAGCCACATGTGGTTCTTCACCTGGGGAGAGTTGGACAAAGTACAAACCTATTAAATGTCCACGTTATGAAGAATTCATGGACAATAAGGTTTTATCTTATTATCTCTGATGAAGGAATATGGCTCATATGACGTTTTTAATATGCCTATGTAGATTCTGGCAAAATACCCATCTCCCTGCACGTTTATAGACCAAAACAAGTGCAGATTAGGAGCAGCTCGCGGAGAGGTATGTAGCCTGTGTCCTCAACTTGCAGTGGGCAGACAAGTTTGCTGTCACCCAGCCAGAATGCGCATCAGAGTTTCATTTTCTTCCCACTACGCTCGCCCGCTTGTTAGATATTATGCACATTAATAGCTTGCTAGTAAACGTCCTCGCCATTCGATTGATCATAATAGCAGCCTAACAGTATGCAGCAGCAATCTAAATGGTCATACCGAAATATGCGAGAAGTGATCAGGTGAAATTATGAAGCGAAGTGAGTGGACGGAGGAATAGTCCCTATCCAATCAGAGCAACAGGATCAACCTACAGACCGCCCTTCTCTTTACAGACAAGCAAAATAGCCAGTTGACTCATTTAGACCATGTAGCACCTCGCACTTGATTGAAAGATGCGTGCTGGCACCTGACTTTGTCTGATCAAGGATAATTACAAAAAAATACTCAGATTAAAATCGTATCAGGAAAATAACCCATATCCGTTACGATACTTGTTTTGTCCGACTAGTCGGCACACCCCTAGTTGACAGTATGGTGGGGGTACCTGGAAAGGCTTGACAACCACTCCAGCTTTGTTCTTCTTCTTGACCACCTCGATGAGCTTGGAGGTCACCTGGTCTGCCACGTAGTCAGCATGTCTCCCACCCTGTTGCCAAAAATGGAAAATGACTCAAGTAATAAAACCAAAAGCGGTTGGTAAGCCGTTATGTCTCAAAATCCAAAATGTTATCGTCCAATAAGAGATAAGTTGACATTTGCCATTAGCTTCCATGCCTCATCTCAATCCCAAACATTACAGTACACACATCACAACAAAACCACAAGCCCCTTAGTCAAATGCCCTGTTACCTTGGTGGTGGCAATGCTGTTGACGAAGCTGACTTGATGGAAGCCCTTCTCACTCATGGTGAGGCACACCTCCCAACGCTTGTTCACCACCTCGTGGACCACAGTGAGGGGAGAGCCCAGCTCGTCCACTTTGTCCTTCAGGTACAGGTCCACATAGTTACGGAAACTTGTCACCTAGAGAGAGAGGGGGTGGGGTTTCTCAGGGACATCACAAGCGTCAATGCTGTAAATCAAACACACAAACATCTAACATTGCAGTCCAACAGAATTGCAACCGTCAAAAGTATAGATTTGGAGACAGTATTGACATTGTCCTATATTAGCCAAATTAGATGTTCTTGTTAGTGTCTTTTGTTCCAGTAACTTTAGTGCAGAGTATTTCTTAGTCTGGCGATTACTCTTATGGCGCATTTCCAATGACGATTTACCCCAGTTTTTACCCAAAAGGCTCACTTTTGTTTCCGTCTACGCGGGCCAGAACCTGTCTCTCAATGGGCCATGGCTCCAGCGGACCTCTAACTTGGAGCCAAAGCACTGGGTAGTTTTCAGCTGGCATTTACATAACAAATGGCTAATGGTGTACTTTAACACCTCAGAAAGCAACAGTCTTGAATGATGAAGAGGTTGTTGATTCTGATCGACAACTCTTTAGTGTCACACTCCTGATGGAAACACTAGAGCTTACATCAACATAAAACACTGACGACTCCCTGGTGTCGGACTAAGTCTAGATGGAAAAAAAGCACTATTAGATTACTAGTAAGTTAGCCTGCAGTCACGGGTAGCCTCTTCCCATTGAGGAACACGCGGACACCCTTGGTGGTGCCGGCAATGTCGTATGCCCTTCGGGTCATGATGGCCACGGTGTCCTTGTCCAGGGTCTGCATCTTGAACTTGGACTCTCCGGCCCGCCCCATGTTGTCATACCACGTCTGCAGGGGCACAAAGAGCACAGGTAAGATCAAATAGAATAGGGGCTTTGGTAAATGGCTACATCATCACAAGCCTAAGAAAATGTCAAGAAATGGGTGTGTTTTGTATGGTGACATTGGATGACCTGCTTGAATGTCTTCTTTGACTCCTTGCAGGCTGTCTCCACTGTGAACTTGTTGCTGAAGATATTGCAAAGCTTCGCACCATATCCGTTACGTCCGCCTAAAGATTGAGTACAATAACATGTGACGATATACAGGTAAGTGACAAAATAAAAGAAACACCAACATAAAGTGTCTTAATAGGGTGTTGGGCCAGAACAGCTTCAATGCACCTTGGAATAGATTCTACAAGTGTCTGGAACTGTATTGGAGGGATGCGATACCATTATTCCATGAGAAATTCCATGATCTGGTGTTTTGTTGATGGTGGGGGAAAATGCAGTCTCAAGCACCGCTCCAGAATCTCCTATAAGTGTTCAATTGTGTTCAGATCTGGAGACTGACCCCCCCCAAATGACCCTAAGTTGATGGGATGTTAATTGCTTAATTAACTCAGGAACCACACCTGCGTGAAAGCGCCTGCTTCAATATACTTTGTATCCCTCATTTACTCAAGTCTCTCCTTTATTTTGGAAGTCTGATTGCATTAGCCTTACCGGTGACCTTCTTCTGGTCGTCGTCATAGTTACTGGAGGTGAGGAGCTGTCCGAAGATGAGCGCTGGCACGTAGACCTTCTCCTCCTTGTGCTCCACCACAGGGATGCCTTTCCCATTGTTCCAAACACTGATGGTGTTGTTCTCATAATAAACAGTATGGTATAATACATTTAATATGTGAGAATACTCACACGTCAATGTTGACTTTGATGCAGGTCATGGTTTTATCTCTTTGCTTGTTATCTGCAGCATTTACTGTGGCGAGAAGAACAAATCAGAGAATAGTCACTTCACAATCTTGGAAGGGCTTTTCATATATTGATGGTTTAACTATTCAGTGAGTAAACAATCCGTGAAATGAATAGAATAACATTACACTTGTAATAGTAGCTTACTCACCAAGGATCTCGTCAAATATCTTGTAGAGACACTGGGTCACATCTCGACAGTTAATTCCAACATCCTCATCAAACACCCACAATTGCTGGAGAGGAAAGTGACGGTAAACGTTACTGACAATTCTAACAAACAGGAAACATTAACCATTGGTTGTGTTCTAAAGATAAGCATTTTCTGCCTATATTTTACTCCAGTTTGACACCCCTGTCCCACCATCAAATATGTGTATGCCTCTACAAACAGGGCTGTGGTCGTTTCCAGGGAAAATATTGAGGCAGAGTGGTACGCGTTTGATAAGGTACCATGGCACCAGGCTCTACAGAGCCAATGTAGATGTCTGGACGCAGCAAAAAAAAAAATTAAAATATGTTTTTCACCTTTATTTAACCAGGTAAGCCAGTTGAGAACAAGTTCTCATTTACAACTGCGACCTGGCCAAGATAAAGCAAAGCAGTGCGATAAAAACAACAACACAGATTTACATATGGGGTAAAACAAAACAAGTCAAAAATACAACAGAACATATATATACAGTGTGCGAATGTTGTAAGTTATGGAGGTAAGGCAATAAATAGGCCATAGTGCAAAATTGTTACAATTTCGTATTAACACTGGAATGATAGATGTGCAAAAGATAATGTGCAAATAGAGATACTGAGGTGCAAATTAGCAAAATGAAAAACAATATGGGGATGAGGTAGTTGGGTGGGCTAATTTCAGAATGGCTGTGTACAGGTGCAGTGATCGGTAAGCTGCTCTGACAACTGATGCTTAAAGTTAGTGAGGGAGATAAGTGTCTCCAGCATCAGAGATTTTTGCAGTTCGTTCCAGTCATTGGCAGCAGAGAACTGGAAGGAATGGCGGCCAAAGGAGGTGTTGGCTTTGGGGATGATTAGTGAGATAAACCTGCTGGAGCGCAGACTACAGGTGGGTGTTGCTATGGTGACCAGTGAGCTAAGATAAGACAGGGATTTGTCTAGCAGTGATTTATAGATGACCTGGAGCCAGTGGGTTTGGCGACGAATATGTAGTGAGGGCCAGCCAACAAGGGCGTACAGGTCACAATGGTGGGTAGTATATTAGGCTTTGGTGACAAAACGGATGGCACTGTGATAGACTACATCCAATTTGCTGAGTAGAGTGTTGGAGGCTATTTTGTAATTGACAGTCAAGGATTGGTAGGATAGTCAGTTTTATGAGGGCATGTTTGGCAGCATGAGTGAAGGAGGCTTTGTTGTGAAATAGGAAGCCGATTCTAGATCTAACTTTTGATTAGAGATGCTTAATGTAAGTCTGGAAGGAGTGTTTACAGTCTAACCAGACACCTAGGTATTTGTAGTTGTCCACATACTCTAGGTCAGACCCGCCGAGAGTAGTGATTCTAGTCGGGTGGGCGGGTGCAAGCAGCGTTCGGTTGAAGAGCATGCATTTAGTTTTACTAGTGTTTAAGAGCAGTTGGAGGCTATGGAAGGAGTGTTGTATGGCGTTGAAGCTTGTTTGGAGGTTTGTTAACACAGTGTCCATTGAAGGGCCAGATGTATACAAAATGGTGTCGTCCGCATAGAGGTGGATCTGAGCATCACCAGCAGCAAGAGCGACATCATTGATATACACAGAGAATAGAGTCGGCCCAAGAATTGAACCCTGTGGCACCCCCATAGAGACTGCCAGAGGTCCAGACAACAGGCCCTCCGATTTGACACATTGAACTCTATCTGAGAAGTAGTTGGTGAACCAGGCGAGGCAGTCATTTGAGAAACCAAGGCTATTTAGTCTGCCAATAAGAATGCTGTGGTTGACAGCGTCGAAAGCCTTGGCCAGGTCGATGAAGACAGCTGCGCAGTACTGTCTTTTATCGATCGCGGTTATAATATCGTTTAGGACCTTGAGCGTGGCTGAGGTGCACCCATGACCAGCTCGGAAACCGGATTGCATAGCGAAGAAGGTACGGCGGGATTCGAAATGGTCGGTGATCTGTTTGTTAACTTGGCTTTCAAATACTTTCGAAAGGCAGGGCAGGATGGATATAGGTCTGTAACAGTTTGGATCTAGAGTGTCACCCCCTTTGAATGTGCTCCAGTGTCACGCCCTGACTCAAGGGACTTGTATTTGTTGAGTCAGGGTGTGTATTTTCTGTGTTGGGTTTATTCGTGTAAATAAACATGTATGCTTATCACGCTGCGCCTTGGTCCGTCTCGTCCGTAAACGATCGTGACAGAAGATCCCACCAATCCTGGATCAAGCAGCGTGACGAGGAGAGAGGATGGACTTGGGAGGAGATGAGAGAGTCTGGCAAGAGGGATAGAGGCCATGATCACGGGGGAGAGACAAGCCCCAAACATTTTTAGGGGGGGGCTCACGCCGTGGACGACGAGGCAGCAGGAGGCTGCCGGTTCAGCCGTTTAGCAGAGGAGGCCGCCAGATTAAGGGGGTCATTGGTTTAGGGGGAGCAGAAGGAAAGTGTAGAGGCACGGCAAGAGGAGCTGGTTAGGCAGCAGAAGGAGCGGGGGTTAATGAAGGAACCCAGTCCCGCTCCTCGTACCAATCGAGTGGTGCGTGTCGCCAGTCCGGTCCGGCCCGTTCCTAATTCCCGCACTAAGCCAGTGGTGGGTGTTCCCAGTATGGTTCGGCCCGTTCCTGCTCCTCGCATCAAGCCAGTGGTGCGCATCGCCAGCCCGGTCCGGCCTGTTCCTGTTCCTCGCACCAAGTCAGTGATGCGCGTCGCCAGCCCGGCCCGGCCTGTTCCTGCCCCATGCACCAAGCCAGTGGTACGCGTCGCCAGCCCGGTCCGACCTGTTCCTGTCCCTCGCACCAAGCCAGTGGTGCGCGTCGTCAGCCCAGTCCGGCCCGTTCCTGCTCCCCGCTCCAGGCCAGTGGTGCGCGTCGCCAGTCCGGTACGGCCCGTTCCTGCTCCCCGCACCAAGCCAGTGGTGCGCGTCGTCAGCCCAGTCCGGCCCGTTCCTACTCCCCGCACCAAGCCAGGGGTACGCGTCGTCAGCCCAGTCCGGCCCGTTCCTGCTCCCCGCACCAAGCCAGTGGTGCGTGTGTCCAGTCCGGCACAGCCCGTGCCTGTTCCACCAGTGCCTGGTCCGGCACCGGTCAGCTGCTCCACTCCGGAGCCAGAGCAATCCGCTCCACCGGGGTCTAGTCCAGCTCCGGTCAGCAGTTCCACTCCGGAGCCAGAGCAGTCCGCTCCACCGGTGCCTGATCCAGTTCCGGTCAGCGGCTCCACCCCGGAGCCAGAGCAGTTCGATCCACCGTCGTCGGGTCCAGCTCCAGTCAGTGGTTCCAGTCCAGACCCAGACGTCAGCCCCTCTCCAGGTTCGGGGTCTCCCACACCAGGGTCCAGACAGGGCGTGGTACTTCGTGGGAGGAAGGAGAGAGGAAGCAGCGCGCCAAGGTCCAGACCAGACCAGGGGCGCAACGGGGAGGTGGAGAGTAAGTGGTGGTCACACCCGGAGCCGGATCCGCCTCCGAGGCGGAATGCCCACCCGGCCCCTACCCTGTTAGGTTTATGTGGCGCTGTCGGAGTCCGCACCTTTGGGGGGGGGGGTACTGTCACGCCCTGACTCAAGGGACTTGTATTTGTTGAGTCAGGGTGTGTATTTTCTGTGTTGGGTTTATTCGTGTAAATAAACATGTATGCTTATCACGCTGCGCCTTGGTCCGTCTCGTCCGTAAATGATCGTGACATCCAGCTGGGTCTTCTTCTGGTAGATCCTCTCCACTGAGAGGCAGTCAGGGTTCTTCATGGTCTTCTCCACCGTCTTGTTCTCAAACAAGCTCTGTGTGAAATCAATGGGGGAAAAGTGTGTTGTTTAGCTGGTTACCGTTGATGGACCAGACTGTTCTGCATCAGGTCAAAATATGCAATAGACGGGTTGGTTGTTAAGCAACAAAACCGATGCGTGCGCAACTATGGGGCAAAACAGACAGGGTTGGCTTAGATTGTTGACAACATGTAAACTATATAGTGTCTTCAAATGTTTACTTGATAACAAATACATTTGCACAATGAGCAGTTGCCTCAAATAAACTCAGCAAAAAAAGAAAAGTCCGCTCACTGTCAACTGGGTTTATTTTTAGCAAACTTAACATGTGTAAATATTTGTATGAACATAACAAGATTCAACAACTGAGACATAAACTGAACAAGTTCCACAGACATGTGACTAACAGAAATGGAATAATGTGTCCGCAAAAAACCTGCCAAGAGAGGGCCGCCCACCAAAACTCACGGACCAGGCAAGGAGGGCATTAATCAGAGAGGCAACAAAGAGACCAAAGATAACCCTGAAGGAGCTGCAAAGCTCTACAGCGGAGATTGGAGTGTCTGTCCATAGGACCACTTTAAGCCATACACTCCAAAGAGCTGGGCTTTACGGAAGAGTGGCCAGAAAAAAAGCCATTGCTTAAAGAAAGAAATAAGCAAACACGTTTGGTGTTCACCAAAAGGCATGTGGGAGACTCCCCAAACATATGGAAGAAGGTACTCAGGTCAGATGAGACTAAAATCGAGCTTTTTGGCCATCAAAGAAAACGCTATGTCTGGCGCAAACCCAACACCTCTCATCACCCCGAGAACACCATCCCCACAGTGAAGCATGGTGGTGGCAGCATCATGCTGTGGGGATGTTTTTCATTGGCAGGGACTGGGAAACTGGTCAGAATTGAAGGAATGATGGATGGCGCTAAATACATGGAAATTCTTGAGGGAAACCTGTTTCAGTCTTCCAGAGATTTGAGACTGGGATGGAGGTTCACCTTCCAGCAGGACAATGACCCTAAGCATACTGCTAAAGCAACACTCGAGTGGTTTAAGGGGATACATTTAAATGTCTTGGAATGGCCTAGTCCAATTGAGAATCTGTGGTATGACTTAAAGATTGCTGTACACCAGCGGAACCCATCTAACTTGAAGGAACTGGAGCAGTTTTGCCTTGAAGAATGGGCAAAAATCCCAGTGGTGGCTCTACAAAGTATTGACTTTGGGGGGGGGGGGGGGGGGGGGGGGGTGAATAGTTATGCACGCTCAAGTTTTCTGTTTTTATGTCTTATTTCTTGTTTGTTTCACAAGAAAAAATATTTTGCATCTTCAAAGTGGTAGACATGTTGTGTAAATCAAATGATACAAACCCCCCCAAAATCTATTTTAATTCCAGGTTGTAAGGCAACAAAATAGGAAAAATGCCAAGGGGGGTGAATATTTTTGCAAGCCACTGTAGGCTGTCTCATCAGCATCGGTGATCAGGCCTACCACCGTTGTGTAATAGGCAAACACCCGCAAAAAAATGATGGTGTTGGAGTCATGCACGGCCACGCAGTCGTGGGTGAACAGGGAGTACAGGAGGGGACTATGGTGTTGAATGCTGAGCTGTAGTCAATGAACAGCATTCTCACGTAGGTGTTCCTTTTGTCCGGTGGGAAAAGGCAGTGTGGAGTGCAATAGCGATTGCGTCATCTGTGGATCTGTTGGGGTGGTATGCGAATTGGAGTGGGTCCTGGGTGTCTGGAATGATGGTGTTGATGTGAGCCATGACCAGGTTACCTTGGCGTTCTTGGGCACGGGGGCTATGGTGGTCTGTTTGAAACATGTAGGTATTACAGACTGGGTCAGGGAGAGGTTCAAAATGTCAGTGAAGACACTTGCCAGCTGGTCAGCCATGCTCTGAGTACGCGTCCTGGTAATCCATCTGGCCCTGCCGCCCTGTGAATGTTAACCTGTTTAAAGGTCTTACTCACATCGGCTACGGAGAGCATAGTCGTCCGGAACAGCTGGTGCTTTCACGCATGGTTCAGTGTTGCTAGCCTCAAAGTGAGCATAGAGGGCATTTAGCATGTCTGGTAGGTTTGCGTCACCGTTGCAGCTCGGAACTGGGTTTCCCTTTGTAATCCATGATAGTTTGCAAGCTCTGCCACATCTGACAAGTGTCAGAGCCGGTGTAGTAGGATTCGATCTTAATCCTGTATTGACGTATTTTACAACCTCAGTCACTCTTTAGATGATACCCCATACTGAAACCAGCCAGGTCACTGTAAATCCATTAGCCATTGAAGCCAACTGTTGTCCCACTATGTAAACATCACACGAGTGCTAAGACTGTATATAAACAAGGCCACAATATAGAAGTGAAATCAGACGGTTCTTTGGATTAGATTTTTGACCCGTTCCAATTTTTTCCCTCCGCTCCTGTTGACAGATTATGTCTGAGGCTTTGAGATGTGAAGAGAAGTTAGACAGTCAGTCAAATCCTCATCCCTACATGCCCTTCACAAACTATCAGACACCACGACTTGATTCACAAATCCCTCCGGCCGGGTCTCCATGCATTTCCTGCAGGGGTCAATTCAAATTGAAGGCAGTCAGGAAGTGATTTAAATGAAAAATTCTGAAATGTATTTATTTTTTAAATAAATGTAATTTCAGTTTACTTCCTGAATTGACTGCCTGCAATTCGAATTGACCCCAACCCTGATTGCCTGTGCCTTTCAGGTCATATCTGACTAACTGCAGAAGTTCGAATAACTTTTTCGTAAGCTTGTCATATACATAGCACACTGATAATTTCCCTTGTGATGAAGGAATCATCATCAACCATCTAGGAACAAGGTCAGTCTAACCAATATAAATATAATTACTAGAACGGGTAAAGCTCCTGAGAAAATACCATGGCTGACATGGTATTTTCAGTGTAATTATATTTATATGGCCTATGCATTTTAATATTTGGAAAAAGACCCAACTCCTCAATGGGGAATTCCTATAACAACTGTAATATATCACAAAGGAAACTATTTATAACTATGTCAGATTTTCACAGTGAGGTGCATTGTGTAACCGCATTGTAGTCTTTGATTCGAGCGAACCTCACAGATATGCTGACCTGCAGTAACTTTATTCCCCGATGTGGTGGGGGAGGAATTCCTTTTATATACAGTCGTGGTCAAAAGTTTTGAGAATGACACAAGTATTGGTCTTCACAAAGTTCGCTGCTTCAGTGTTATGAAATATTTTTGTCAGATGTTACTATGGTATACTGAAGTATAATTACAAGCATTCCATAATTGTCAAAGGCTTTTATTGACAATTACATTAAGTTTATGCAAAGAGTCAATATTTGCAGTGTTGACCATTCTTTTTCAAGACCTCTGCAATCCGCCCTGGCATGCTGTCAATTAACTTCTGGGCCACATCCTGACTGATGGCAGCCCATTCTTGCATAATCAATGCTTGGAGTTTGTCAGAATTTGTGGGGTTTTGTTTGTCCATCCGCCTCTTGAGGATCGACCACAAGTTCTCAATGGGATTAAGGTCTGGGGAGTTTCCTGGCCATGGACCCAAAATGTTGATGTTTTGTTCCCTGAGTCACTTAGTTATCACTTTTGCCTTATGGCAAGTTGCTCCATCATGCTGGAAAAGGCATTGGTCGTCACCAAACTGTTCTTGGATGGTTGGGAGAAGTTGCTCTCGGGGGATGTTTTGGTACCATTATTTATTCATGGCTGTGTTCTTAGGCAAAATTGTGCGTGAGCCCACTCCCTTGGCTGAGAAGCAACCCCACACATGAATGGTCTCAGGATGCTTTACTGTTGGCATGACACAGGACTGATGGTAGCGCTCACCTTGTCTTCTCCGGACAAGGTGTTTTCCGGATACCCCAAACAACTGGAAAGGGGATTCATCAGAGAAAATGACTTTACCCCAGTCCTCAGCAGTCCAATCCCTGTACCTTTTGCAGAAAATCAGTCTGTCCCTGATGTTTTTCCTGGGGAGAAGTGGCTTCTTTGCTGCCCTTCTTGACACCAGGCTGTATTTGCCTCACTGTGTGTGCAGATGCACTCACACCTGCCTGCTGCCATTCCTGAGCAAGCTCTGCACTGGTGGTGCCCCGATCCCGCAGCTGAATCAACTTTAGGAGACAGTCCTGGCGCTTGCTGGACTTTCTTGGGCGCCCTGACGCCTTCTTCACAACAATTGAACTTCTCTCCTTGTAGTTCTTGATGATCCGATAAATGGATGATTTAGGTGCAATCTTACTAGCAGCAATATCCTTGCCTGTGAAGCCCTTTTTGTGCAAAGCAATGATGGTGGCACCACCCTCCTTTTAAAGCTTCCAGTCTGTTATTCTAACTCAATCAGCATGACAGAGTGATCTCCAGCCTTGTCCTCGTCAACACTCACCTGTGTTAACGAGAGAATCACTGACATGATGGCAGCTGGTCCTTTTGTGGCAGGGCTGAAATGCAGTGCAAATGTTTTTTGGGGATTAAGTTCATTTTCATGGCAAAGAGGGACTTTGCAATTAATTGCAATTCATCTGATCACTCTTCATGACATTCTGGAGTATATGCAAATTGCCATCATCAAAACTGAGGCAGCAGACTTCGTGAAAATCAGTATTTGTCTCATTCTCAAAACTTTTGACCATGACTGTACTTGTGAAAAAGCCAGGGAAATAAATAAATAAGTTGTGAGTAATGTCATATTCACAAAGACATGGAATGGCTTTGATCTTGGAATGAGCTGGGAGCAGTGAGGAGACAGAGTGAGGGAGAGACAGTGAGAGAGAGAAAGAGAGAGAGCCAGAGGGAGCGAAGTCTAGCTCCTCTGATCATGGCACAACGTTCCCCTGCCTCCCGGGGATTTTCTAACACATACAGTATGCACCTCAGCTGAGTTCACACTAAGCAGCACTGCAGCACAACCATGGCTGATTAGTAAGTTGTATGCACCCTCTGTGTCCATGTTGATGGGAGCGATCCAGGCTACTCTTCATCCTTAGGGGCTCAGCTGATTGGATCGGAGCGCTTGGAGTGTAGTCTGTGTAGTATTAACAACGTAGTTTCAGAGAATTTCGTATTATTCTGTACTTAATCAGAGACACATTTAGTGTGATATCTTAAATTTCGTATGGTATGTATTATTATTATTATTATTTTTTTTTGGGTGGGGGTAGATCAGCTTAATATTGCAGATAGATTGTAACTTCTATCAATGTAATTGTCTGCATCACATCCAATCCCCTATGTTTTTTATATATATATACTCCCCTTTATTACTTTTCAACCCCGCCATCCTTTCCCTACTTGGGGTAAATTAGTGAACAACAATGCCCAGGCCTCTACTTCCAGCCTATACTTACTATCTACACCTTATGGACACAGTCAATTTTACAATAATTATATTTTATTTGTTTTTGCTCCTGAACTTCTTCTACTCTCAACCTCTCCGATCCATCCGGTTTGCTTCTATATTCCATATCTTTCTAACTGCTCTTTCCCAAAAGCGTATGGTATGTATTAATTTGTGGATGTCCATCCTCCATTTGGTAATACAATTTGTAAGATATGTTACGAATTGCAATTTGTACAATATGTTAAGAATTTGCAAATGTACAATATGTTACAAATTTGCATAACGTATGATATGTTACGAATTCCAATTTTTTGTGATTAACGTTAGCTAGGTGGCTAGGTTGCTAACGCTAACGTTAGCTAGCTGGTTAATGCTAACTACGTTAGGGGTTAAGGTTAGGGTTAAGGTTAGGGTTAGGAGTTAGGTTAAAGGGTTAAGGTTAGGGTTAGGGGAAGGGTTAGCTAAAAGGGTTAAGGTTAGGGGTAGGGGAAGGGTTAGCTAACATGCTAGGTTATTGCAAAGCAGTTAAAAAGTAGTAAGTAGTTGCAAAGTTGTTAGTTAGCTAAAATGATAACGTTTTTCGTGATGAGATTCGAACACGCAACCTTTGGGTTGCTAGACGTTCTCGTTAAATGCCTACCCATCCACCCCGACCCCCCACCCACCATTAATTTTTGCCTTAAAGGGATACTGCAGAATTTTGAAAATGAGGCCCTTTATCTACTTCCCCAGAGTCAGATGAACTCATGGACCATTTTTATGTCTGTGTACAGTTTGAAGGAAGTTGCTAACATGCTAGTAGATACAGTGCCTTGCAAAAGTATTCATCCCCCTTGGTGTTTTTCCTATTTTGTTGCATTACAACCTGTAATTTAAATGGATTTTATTTGGATTTCATGTAATGGACATACACAAAATAGTCCAAATTGGTGAAGTGAAATGAAAAAAATAACTTGTTTCCAAAAATTCTAAAAGATGAATAACGGAAAAGTGGTGCGTGCATATGTATTCACCCCCTTTGCTATGAAGCCCCTAAATAAGATCTGGTGCAACCAATTACCTACATAAGTCACATAATTATTTAAATAAAGTCCATCTGTGTGCAATCTAAGTGCCACATGATCTGTCACAATATCTCAGTATATAAACACCTGTTCTGAAAGGCCCCAGAGTCTGCAACACCACTAAGCAAGGGGCACCACCAAGCAAGTGGCACTATGAAGACCAATGAGCTCTCCAAACAGGTCAGGGACAAAGTTGTGGAGAAGTACAGATCAGGGTTGGGTTATAAAAAAATATCAGAAACTTTGAACATCCCACGGAGCACCATTAAATCCATTATTAAAAAATTTAAAGAATATGGCATCACAACAAACCTGCCAAGAGAGGGCCGCCCACCAAAACTTTCTTTTAAATAAGCAAACATGTTTGGTGTTCGCCAAAAGGCATGTGGGAGACTCCCCAAACATATGGAAGAAGGTACTCTGGTCAGATAAGACTCAAATTGAGCTTTTTGGCCATCAAGGAAAACGTTATGTCTGGCGCAAACCCAACACCTCTCATCACCCCGAGAACACCATCACCATGTTTTTCCATCGGCAGGGACTGGGAAACTGGTCAGAATTGAAGGAATGATGGATGGCACTAAATACAGAGAAATTCTTGAGGGAAACCTGTTTCAGTCTTCCAAAGATTTGAGACTGGGACGGAGGTTCACCTTCTAGCAGGACAATGACCCTAAGCATACTGCTAAAGCAACACTCGATTGGTTTAAGGGGAAATATTTAAATGTCTTGGAATGGCCTAGTCAAAGCCCAGACCTCAATCCAATTGAGAATCTGTGGTATGACTTAAAGAGCTGGAGCAGTTTTGCCTTGAAGAATAGGCAAAAATCCCAATGGCTAGATGTGCCAAGCTTATAGAGACATATCCAAAGAGACTTGCAGCTGTAATTGCTGCAAAAGGCTCTACAAAGTATTGACTTTGGGGGGGGGGTGAATAGTTATGCACGCTCAAGTTTTCTGTGTTTTTGTCTTATTTCTTGTTTGTTTCACAAGAAAAAAATATTTAGCATCTTCAAAGTGGTAGGCATGTTGTGTAAATCAAATGATACAAACCCCCCAAAAAATCAATTTTAATTCCAGGTTGTAAGGCAACAAAATATGAAAAATGCCAAGGGGGGTGAATACTTTCGCAAGCCAGTGTACCCATAAACTTCCAGTCATTGTGCTAATGCTAGTTAGCATTGGCTCACAAAACTACCTCTAACTTCCTTCATACTGAGACATAAAAATGATTGCCAAAATCCTGAAGTATCCCTTCCCCCGCATAAAATAAATTAGCATAACACAAAAGTCCCCATAAAAATCTGTCGGATTAATCTAGAGATATCCGTTTTTTTGCACTGGATATGTCTCAATCCACCGCATCCGCCTATGTCGCTCTTCCGCATTTGCGGTGAAAGGTGACAGAGCTAGAGCAGCGTTTGTCAGACCATGAGACATCCTGGAAATTGGTCTTCTCACAAAATGTTAGAAAGTGTTCGAATCTCATCACGAAAAAGGTTAGCATTTTAGCTAATTAGCAACTTTGCAACTACTTGCTACTTTTTAACTACTTTGCAATTACTTAGCATGTTAACGAATCCTTCCCCTAACGCTAACATCCGAAAGATGAGACTCTCATGAACACGATGGTGTTCTCCTTTTTGCTCTACGACCCCCACAAGCGTCTTGGGACTCGTCTGAAGTCGGTACAGCCGATCTACCAACTTCTGTCTGTAGCCTCCAAACAGTTTGGGCCACAAATATGACCCCTCTGTGAAAAGGTGAGACTCTCGAACACGTAGATATTGGTAGTTTTGCTCTAGGACACCCACAGGCCTCACAAGACTCGTATGAAGTTCCCCCGGTACCAGCTGAAAATATTAATGGAAGTACACTACCGGTCAAAAGTTTGGACACACCTACTCATTCAAGGGTTTTTCTTTATTTTTACTATTTTCTACATTGTGGAATAATAGTGACGACATCAAAACTATGAAATAACACATATGGGATCATGTAGTATCCAAAAAATTGTTAAACAAATCAAAATATATTTGAGATTTGAGATTTTTCAAATAGCCACCCTTTGCCTTGGTGACAGCTTTGCACACTCTTGGCATTCTCTCAATCAACTTCATGAGGAATGCATTTCAATTAACAGGTGTGCCTTCTTAAAAGTTCATTTGTGGAATTTCTTTCCATCTTAATGCGTTTGAGCCAATCAGTTGTGTTGTGACAAGGTAGGGGGGTTATACAGAAGATAGCTCTATTTGGTAAAAGACCAAGTCCATATTATGGCAAGAACATCTCAAATAAGCAAAGAGAAACGACAGTCCATCAATACATTAAGACATGAAGGTCAGTCAATACGGAACATTTAAAGAACTTTGAAAGTTTCTTCAAGTGCAGTTGCAAAAAACAATCAAGCGCTATGATGAAACTGTCCTTTGGTCTGGAGTCCAAATTGGAAATGTTTGGTTCCAACCGCCGTGTCTTTGTGAGACATGGTGTGGGTGAACGGATGATTTCTGCATGTGTATTTCTCACCGTAAAGCATGGAGGAGGAGGTGTTATGGTGTAGGGGTGTAGGGGTGCTTTGACACTGTCTGTGATTTATTTAGAATTCAAGGCACACTTAACCAGCATGGCTACCACAGCATTCTGCAGTGATACGCCATCCCATCTGGTTTGGGCTTAGTGGGACTATCATTTGTTTTTCAACAGGACAATGACCCAACACACCTACAGGCTGTGTAAGGGCTATTTTTCCAAGAAGTAGAGTGATGGAGTGCTGCATCAGATGACCTGGCCTCCACAATCCCCCGACCTCAACCATATTGACATGGTTTGGGATGAGACCGCAGAGTGAAGGAAAAGCAGCCAACAAGTGCTCACCATATGTGGGAAAAGCATTCCAGGTGAAGCTGGTTGAGAGAATGGTTACTACATGATTCCATATGTGTTATTTCATAGTTTTGATGTCTTCACTATTATTCTACAATGTAGAAAATAGTAAAAATAAAGAAACCCTTGAATGAGTAGGTGTTCTAAAACCTTTGACCGGTAGTGTATATATGGAGACTGTTTAGTGCTAAAAATAAGGTGTTAAATACATGTAAAAAAAATATATATAACTAAACAATATTCCGGATCTTTCTTATCTCTCTCAGATATAGGACAGACACTCCAGGATAAACTTCCTTTAGATTTTTTAGGGTGACTAACTGTTGTTCCATGTAGTCAATCTGTTATGCAATGTGTTTGTATGGGCTAATAGCAGTAAGGCCAAACATAATTTTTCATCAAATAATTGTTTTATATATTTTTTTTATACTTCAAGGGGTCTTAAAATTCCAAATCAAATAACTAAATGATCCTTGGTATGACCTTCTTAAAACAATTCCATATAGCTTAGACAGGGCTTAGACTCTTATGGGTTAAGTAACATTCTATCTTATATAACCATACCACACTCATTTCGGTATCCCAGATTTACCTTTACTATGTTACATCTAGTCTATGAGACCAGTCTTGTATTAAGTATACTCTGTTAATGCAGAAGGCATCCGCCAATCATCACTGCCCGTTTTAAGTGATCTGACACTACATGGAGAAGGTAAGGCATTTGGCTGACTGGTAGTGCTCTCTCCTCCTCTTCCTTACTGCCTACCAAATGGCACCATTTTCCGTATACACTGAGTGTACAAAACTTTAGGAACCACTTCCTAATATTGTGTTGCACCTCCCTCCTTTGCGCTCAGAACAGCCTCAATTCGTCGGGGCCTGGACTCTACAAGGTGTCAAGCGTTCCACAGGGATGCTGGCCCATGTTAACTCCAATGCTTCCCACAGTTGTGTCAATTGTGTCAGTTGGGACCAGTATGAAAATGTATGCACTCACTAACTGTAAGTCGTTCTGGATAAGAGCGTCTGCTAAATGACTAAAATGTAAATGTAAGTTGGCTGGATGCCCTTTGGGTGGTGGACCATTCTTGATACACACGGGAAACTGTTGAGCATGAAAAACCCAGCAGTGTTGACACACTCAAACCGGTGCGCCTGGCACCTACTATAATACCCTGTTCAAAGGCACTTAAATCTTTTGTCTTGCCCATTCACCCTCTGAATGGCAAACATACACAATCCATGTCTCAATTGTCTCAAGGCTTAAAAATCCTTCTTTAACCTGCCTCCTCCCCTTCATCTACACTGATTGAAGTGTATTTAACAAGTGACAACAATAAGGGATCATAGCTTTCACCTGGATTCACCTGGTCAGTCTATGTCATGGAAAGAGCATGTTTTGTACACTCAGTGTATAGTGCAGTATACAGGGAATAGGGTGCCATTTGGGACGCCGCCCCTCTCGATGATGAGAAACTAGTCACATGTTCTGCTGTTTCATCTTCATATGCTCGTCCTCGTTTCTAATCCGATCCTAAATCAAGGAAAAGCTTCATAATCCAGCCTCACTGAGCACAGTCATTATGTGTCCAATACATCACAATAGCATCTTTAGTCTTCCCAGGGGATAAAATACAAATGAATTCCCATGAAGTCTATTCTTTATCTATTTTGCAAACACAAATACATTCAGTCCATTATTCAGTCACACACACATTCTGTCATTAACCTTGATTTGATGGTTTGAGGGGACATTGTGGGGGAGTTAGTTGGGGTGTTTCTATTGATTTATATTCCATTAATGCCTTTTGACTGCTTACTTGGAAGCCACTCTCGGGCCCCAGACTGTGTCTGTTATCACAGTGTGGTTTTGATTGGACGGCGTCCTTATCGGTTGGCAGCAGGCAGGAAGAGACCCCGACACAGACAAATATCCACAGCATTGTCAGAGGGCAACACAGTACTGAAACAACAACCTGCAGATCAAACATGATTAGTCAATCCCACTTTCTTAAAGGTGCAATCTGCAGTTCAAACGATAACCAAGCAGGCGCCCCACCACTGTTTTGGTAAATAGCTCAGGGATGGGCTGGAGAAATGTAACCACTCTCAAATTCATAGATGGAGCTATGGATGCAAGGACTGCATCCATGAGATCAAAATGATAGTTTGAACCATGTTTTGATACACTGGTTGTTTACAATTACATTGTTTTATAATTATTGTAGTAAAATAACATTATATTTTGGTTTATGATGAGATACAACAGTTGAATTAAGCTCTTGAGGCATGTATAAGTTATATTATTCAAGAATCAATGGCTGTGTGTATGTGTGCAGTGTATTCTAATAAAACTCCAATATCAACTGTGTCATAACTCTTCTGATAATGTTTAATAATCTCAGTTTACTATAGAGAATATATGGGACCACAGAGGGGGTACTTGAAATCTGTAAAGCTGTTGGTCAAAACACAAGCTTTTGGAAGACGAGTTATAATACCAAACAAATGAAGTTTCCTTATTATGTAGGAAAATGATTTCAGATTTCAGTAGCCCATGTCATTTCAGTGTGTAAATGCATTGCGCTCTGTGGCTGCCGCTTGCACTATCATTATTTGTCATAATTGTCAGGATCACACACTTGTATGAAGCCATCTATAGGCGGCCTAACCTTGCGCGTCGTGTCCTTGCCAATTTCCGATGGTTACAGCAATGTTGCTTAGTTTTCTGGTTGCGTGGAAACTAAAAGGCTGCATTGAGCGAGCACTCATGTTAAGGTAGATTTACTGTTTGCGCACCGTTGTCAGTGTGGCTCTTCGCACAAGTTGGGCGAGCTGCAACAGAGGACCTCATGGAAGCGACGGAAATTGGCCGAATTGCAGTTTGGAGTGGAATTAATTATGATCTATTTTGAAAATGTGAAAATGTGTGTCTTGAAACTAAAGTGATTCTGTTATGAGCCACCCGCCATACGAAGGAGAGGAAGAATGCTAAAGATGTAAGTGATGCTTGTGCATGTTCTTATTCAAAATGCATGCATTTTACTGTGAAATCAATAGACAGACATTAACATCTACTTTTAAATACAGCATGCAGTGTCATATAGTGTATTTATAGGCTACACTTGTGGAAATAACGGGAAATAAATAACTGCAGCTTATTTAATACATTCAGGCTCAGAAAATTATTGTTGAAGAATAAGCCAAACAGTAGTAGCTTATTGTTTAGCCTGACAAGATAGAAGACATAACTTAACAAGGCTATCAATTCCCCAGGAGGCATTGGTGACACGGTTTTTGCTTACAATGAAAATTCTGATTATTAAACCAAAGAAAAGGAGTAGGTAAAATATGTGTGTGTACAAAACAATAATAGACGAATAGTCTAATAATAGCCTAAGTGATAATCATATCATTATTTATGATTAAGTCATTTTATGTATGAATTTATTGTATGTCTGAATACCCTTCAAAGTGAACAATTTAATAAAAAACTTGATGATCAATCCTTAAATAATTCCTTCATTGCTTTCATTTTAATTGAAAACACATTTCAAAGGCAGGGATAAAAGTTCAAAAAACTAACTTTATAGCCTCAAAACATGGTTGGAACTATAATTTGATATATAATATCAAGGATCCATAGGTCCTTGTATCCATAGGCATGTCTAAGAATTTGTGAGAGTGGTTACATTTCTCCAGCCCTATCCCTCAGCTGTTTACTAAAACAGTAGCGTGGTGGCTTTATTATAGTTTGAACTGCAGATTGCCCCTTTAATGAAAACGTGTGTTCCTGTTTCTCTACCAGAATGTATTATTCTGTAAATAAATGCATGAGGGCTTCCAATGGAAATCAGTAAGGCAGTCAACAATAATCTCAGTCCCTAATCAGACACAAATGTGTTCGTAATTTGGGTGGATAGGGACAGAAGAGTGGGGTTTGGAGAGCATGGTAATAAGGTTAGACTCATATCTAAGTGTATGCATCTCAAAATAACATATTGATATTTCCCTCAGAGCTGTTCCTGTTCTTCTTCCTCTCTCTCTCTCTCTCTCTCTCTCTCTCTCTCTCTCTCTCTCTCTCTCTCTCTCTCTCTCTCTCTCTCTCTCTCTCTCTCTCTCTCTCCACCCCCCTTTCTATGTATCATTCTCATGACCTGCTTAGACATAGACAGGTTAGGCCTATCATTGGTTGTCTGGGCAGAAAGATAATACAATGAACAATCACACTAAAATCATACATGAACAACTTTGACAATCCTTTGCTTTGAGGACTTCGTAGTTCAATTCCTTCAGGATTATTATGGTGATTAACAATGGAAAGGGAACCTATATTTCATTCAGCTCAAGCTGTTGTTTGGCTGAGCTATGAAGCAAATTTAGGACCTGTTTAAATGATTACTCTTGCGCACTTGGCGCCTGAGATGTATTATTGGAATATTGACTGCAGTCAATTTATGAACTGCCAAAACTGACCTTTGGGCTCTTGTCTTTAGCACAGTGTGTTTGTCAAATTAAATTATGTCTTCCCACTGGGCAAAAACTGGTTGAATCAACGATGTTTCCACGTCATTTCAACAAAAACATTAAATGTGATGACGCTGAATTACAAGAGCAGACGCTCTTATCTAAAGCGAATTACAAGAGCAATTAAGGTTAAGTGCCTTGCTCAGGGGCACACTGACAGATTTGCCACCTTTTTTCACCCAACTTTTAACCTAAATCAAATGGCATGGTGACATTGTCTGTTGATTTCACGTTGAAATCACCTTAGTTGACAATTCAACCATATGTAAATCAAAACTAGACATTGAAATTACGTCTGTGCCCAGTGGGTTGTGGACAGAATTAACTTAACCTGATTTATTGATTTAAAGGCCCAGTGCAGTTAAAAACGTGATTTTCCTGTGTTTATATATATATTTCCACACTATGAGGTTGGAATAATATTGTGAAAATGATGATAATGCCCTTTTAGTGTAAGAGCTGTTTGAAAATATTGTTTTGATAGGAGGGAGTTTTGACCTTCCATGGTGACATCACCATGTGTTAAATTAGTTAATAGACCAATAAGAAAGAGAGTTCCAAACCTCTCTGCCATTATTTGATATTGAGATAAACGCATTGGACCTTTAATGAGATTGTTGTTGCTCTCTTTCTCTCCTCATGTTGTCCCATAGCTTTATCCCTCACTAACTCCTGTCTCTCCATCACCATATCCATTCCTCTGTCATCCCTCCATCCTCCACCTTTCATTGACAGCTGTCCTCCTCAGCCCATGACATGCTAATATTTCCGTCTTTCCGCTATACATTTCATTAATCTCTCTTCAGTGTTCCTTCCTCTGTGTTCTTCTCCATTGTCATTGTAATGTTACCTACTCTCCTCAGATCACTCCCCTCTCTCTCTCTCTCTCTCTCTCTCTCTCTCATTCTCTCTCTTCGGTCTCTCACGACTCTGTCCTGTTTCCAATGTGTCCAATTTCCTTGGTTCCCCACACCTCCGCTCCCTCCCTCCCCCCAGTCAGTGAAATGTCAGGGCAGCATGGAGCATGATGGAAAAACGACCACTTGTCTTACACAGGAACACTGTGTTACATCCCATTCAATTTAGGCATCCTTTTCATATCCCTGGGCATTTGGTGTTATCTGTAGTCAGTGCTGTTCCACTATATCATACCCTTTCAATAAGTGCAGACTGCAGACTAAAATACGTTGGGCTTCTTTGTTTAGCACTAAGGAAGAATTGGGGATAATCATCTGAGTGTGTCTTTGGGAGGAGGAAGTTCAGGGCAGGGCTGATAGGGACGGTCTTGATCTAGTCTGGGTGCTTTGGATCTATCTCTCTTTCTCCCCAGACTCATTACAAGGGCTATTGCCCTGGCATTCCTTCAACTGGTCTGGTCTAGTCTTATTAGGATGCGTCCCTTAGACGACTCCCTCCGTCATGTGATACTAAGAGGTACTTAGAGATCGATTTCATTTTTTAATCTGGGTAAGTGGATCTTGCCCTGGTCTCCAGCCATTTTGAAGAACCAGCCGAAGTCAGAGAGTTGTAAGTTCTATTGTTTTTAAAGGAGAGGATATAGCTGCCAACACCACATGCTAAGGCTGTTTTGATTGCCTTTGTTGCTGTTTTAGCATTAGCATTTAGCCTTACAATGGTGTTGGGTGGCCAACATACAATGATGGATTAGTAATGTGATAGCAGATGGTTGGTGTTCAGGTATTAATGAAGTGTGTTAAGGTGGGAGGACAGACTATTTTTAGAGGCTTACATGCAAAATAAAAAGTGTAAATTACAGGACACACAAACAAGTTGTTACCTCAGTGTTACTTGCACTTCAGACAAAATTACCCTGGTTCTGAGCGCATAAGCAGTTTATGGATTAGCCAAATGAACACAGTGGTGGCATTGAAAGACCAAATGGCCAAACAGGTCTGACAATGTTACTAAATACAGTAAACAATTTCATCATAGTACAAAGAGTATACAAAGGTCAAAGATAATTATAGATTCTGGAGTCCTGGAGTCCTTGCTGGTAGAATGTCAATTTAGAGGTACCGTTCAAACGGTACAACCATAGTGTATAATATAATGTGGCGGGTATTTTAGTGAAATATGTCTAAGGATGAAAACATTTTGTTCATATCCCTGTCACTGTGGTGCGACATGGATTATGTTAATAGAATCAGCAGCTTTGCACTGAAATAGGCCAGCACTGCAGGGATGTCAATTACCATACACTCACAGTGACACCAAAGCTCTTTGCTTGATGCTTGTTTTTGCCAGTGTGATTTTGATTTTGATTATTATGCTTCCCCTAAAGCTATAAGTATAAACACGGTCTAGTCAACCAAGACTGCGAGATCCCCTCTGCCTCCTCACCGCAGGGCTAGTTATCCTGCATCTGTGTATGAAATAACTTACCTGCTATTAACATTTTTACATTTACATTTTAGTCATTTAGCAGACGCTATTATCCAAAGTGACTTACAGGAGCAATAAGGGTTAAGTGCCTTGCTCAAGGGCACATCGACAGATTTTTCACCTAGTCAGCTCGGGATTCGAAACAGCAACCTTTCGGTCACTGGCCCAACACTGTTTATCATTTATATTTTGCATGGTTGGTGACCAATTGCAGCTACTGGAAGGTGTTCATTGTACCTCTCCTATCAGTAGGTTGTGTTGTCTCCCTCCACCAATCCTGCTTCCTGTTTCTCCATAGGCTTGACAGCTATTGGGGAGGTTGACACTGGCTCCGCCCCTTCTCCCAGGTTGGTCTTCCCTGGAGCATGCCCATATCGCACCATGCCCCTGCTGGCGAGCGGCTGGCTACTGCGCCACTCGGTGGTCATGTGTCTGCTGCTGCACAGCCTGGTGCTGATGACCTTCTGCTTCCACAATGCCGCCACCAGCTGCTCCCAGGGCTGCTACTGCTCCGAGAGCGACGGCCGTGGCAAGATTGTGCGCTGCAGCAACCTGCGTCTCACGGAGATCCCCCAGGACCTGCCCAATGACACGAGACACATCTACCTGGACTTCAACCTGCTCACCATGGTCCCCAGCAATGCCTTCCGAGACTTGCCCCTGCTCAGCGAGCTGGACCTCTCCAACAACGAGTTGGCCCAGCTGGAGCCAGGGGCCTTCAGGGGCCTGGGGCCCTCACTCACCTTCCTGGACCTTTCCTCCAACAAACTGGTCAACTTTAACCCCGAGGCCTTCGAGGGGCTGCGGGCGCGCACCAACCTAACCAACAACCCGTGGCACTGTGACTGCAACCTGCAGCTGGCCATGCCCCACATCGACCTGGAGCCCCTGTCGCTGACGGGCATCGTGTGCGAGACGTCGGATCCGCCCGATGTGGGGGCAGAGGGTGTGCCCTTCCTGCTGGCCCAGGACCTGGACCTGTGCGTGGTGATGAAGAAGACCACGGACGTGGCCATGCTGGTCACCATGTTCGGCTGGTTCTCCATGGTCATTTCCTACCTGGTCTACTACGTCCGGCACAACACGGAGGATGCCCGCCGCCACCTGGAGTACCTCAAGTCTCTGCCCACCAAGCAGGAACAATCCGAGGCCTCTTCTACCATCAGCACTGTGGTATAGCCCAGGGCCAGGAGAACCCAGAGGGGAGCTAAGGCTGGAGAGCCTGGAGGGCTAAGACAGGTGGTTATAGGGCCATAACTTAGCTGCACCCACACCCCAGGCCATTCAGTGTCAGCCAAGGACAGCTCTGCCTGACTGTTACGTGGGCGCCACAGCGGCTCCAGGATTTGTGCCCATGTATGCAGGAAGCCTGTCCAGATCTGGGCACCATACGTAACCCAGATGAATAATTCAACCAGAAGTGGCCCATTAAGAGTTTCTGTTGGCTGAGTGGATAGTCTACTCTGCCTGGGCACTAGGGGAGTAAAAGCAGGGCATTTTGGAGAAGTCCAAAAATGGGATTTAAAATGGATTAAATTGGATTCATCCAGTGGTGCATGCACCTTGATGCACTCTTATCAAAAGGGGGCCACTCAAGGGGACTGTGAATGGTCCTTTGGACACATCAAACAGCAATAACAACAACAGGATAGCAACAAGCAGCAACACGAACTCTATTAACGACTCTGTCACTCGTATCCTTCCATGTAGTATTATTGTTTTACATACAACATCCATACAGTATACACAGTCTATAAACAGTGAAATGTAGTTATTTTCAATTAAATAATGTATTTTATGGTTTTCATGTTTAATTATTGATGGTTCAAATGGTCTATTTCTACTTCAAGAAATTCAATAAACTCAGCAAATGTATGTGCATGTGTGAACTAAACCATCAGTTGAATCTGGCTATACTGAATTCAGTACTGTACTGTACTGGGCTCCCGAGTGGCGCAGCGGTCTAAGGCACTGCATCTCAGTGCTTGAGGTGTCATTACAGACCCCCTGGTTCAATTCCAGGCTGTATCACAACCGGCCGTGATTGGGAGTCCCATAGGGCGGCGCACAATTGGTCCAGCGTTGTCTGGGTTTGGCCGGTGTAGGCCATCATTGTAAATAAGAATTTGTTCTTAACTGACTTGCCTAGTTAAATAAAGGATAAATAAATGATGCACATTAATCATTAATCAATGAAACACTCATACCGGTAAAAGGCTTAGAGATCTGATTGATGTACTGTGCACCATTTTACACACACACACACACACACACACACACACACACATAAAACAGTACACCTACAAGCTGCATTTCTGTTATGTACTTTGAAGTAGGTCTATACAGGAAACCCCTCCTAGCTGTACTGTAAGAGCCTTTAGTATTCTCACCAAGACAAAGAAACAGCCAGTACAGTATAGGAACAAACCTCCCTACACACCATGGCACAATGATCCTTCATACATAAATAATCCCAAGAGGGAGAAAATGTGTTCCTACTGTGTTCCTTTCAGTTCGCTTCTGTTTCCTCGAGTTCCTCGTGATGCTTCAAAAACTGTGGGGCGAGTCCACCGGGACAAAAACTGTCAGAAAGAGCTTATACTCACGTTCATTAGTCAATATTTGGAAACAAAGTATAAAATACAAAATATATTTCTTAAGACCAAACATTTTTAGCAGAACTAGCCACATGGTGGGTTCCAAGAAACAGAAAGAGATGAGATATGAGATTGTAAGAAATTAGCTTGTCATACCCTGGTGGAAAAAAAGCTGCTGGGACACTCAGGTAGTCCTAGTGAGAAAGTTTGGGAACCTCTGAATTAGCAGTAGTCTATCCCTCGGTGGTGAGGGAAACACCATGACTGACATTACCCAGCGGTGAAGGGCGCAGTCAGTCAGTCTGCCTGATAGCTCAAATACACAAACTGCCTACCTGACACCAACAACAACCTTTGGAATTACCCCATAGCCAGTTGCTAATGATATTCTAATCTTGTGCTCTGGCCCAATAGTCTTGAATATCTCTCTTTTTAAGTACAAGAACTGGATCGATTTCATATCCATTCAGAGCAATGGTGACCATGTGAGCTGACTAGGATAAATTATGGGCCCTAGTTATAACCTACAGTATAACCTAGCTATAGCCTTGTTATAACCTATAAGTAGGGACCAGAGTTTATCCTGGTCAAGGTCACATGATCAGGAAAACAGCCCAGACATATCACAAATAAAAGGAGAAAAGGAATAGGACGTTTTAGACTATTGGGACGCCTCCCGCCCTCCTCTTCCCCCTAGTGTCTCTGAGAGGTCCTGGTGTCATGGTGGGAGCCAGGCCGTCTGCCGAGGCCATTCCCCTGGGGTTTCTCAAACTGCATTGCAGGGGCCATGACCTGCCGGTCCGTTTGCTGCTGCGGTAGATATTAATTGCCTAATAAGACAGACTCGGGCACAAATAAATGCATGTCCATTTCCCCTCAGTGTATTCTGATAGGAGAGGAAAGAGAAGAGGAGAAATAGGGGAAAGGGGAGTTAAGTAGAGTGGAATAAAACAGAATTGAACAAGACACAGCAGTAAACCAAGAGAGAAAACTCCTTATTCATTTTTGTTCCCGAGGGCAGCTCCTCCTGGGCTGAATGAATGTGATTGGTTAAATGAAAGCTCAACAATCAGCACAGTGAGAGTGAAATAAACAATAGGTTCACAGCTTTAACTAGCGACCTTGCCACACACAAGGTCGCTAGTTAAAAGCCCACCCCAACCCCTAAATTGAACCACTTGACTAAACGTTTTAGTTTTTTTCAATTTTTATCATCATATCCAATTGGTAGTTACAGTCTTGTCCCATCGCTGCAACTCCCGTACGGACTCGGGAGAGGCAAAGGTCGAGAGCCGTGCGTCCTTCGAAACACAACCCAGCCGAGCGGCACTGCTTCTTGACACAATGCCTGCTTAACCTGGAAGCCAGCCGCACCAATGTGTTGGAGGAAACACCTGCACCAGGCCCGCCACAGGAGTCGCTAGTGCACAATGGGACAAGAATACCCCTGCCGGCCAAACCCTCCCCTAACCTGGACAACGCTGTGCGCCGCCCCATGAGCCTGGACTCGAACCAGGATCTCTAGTGGCACAGCTAGCACTGCGATGCAGTGCCTTAGACCACAGCACCACTCGGGAGGCCCTACTTGCCTAAACTTAACCAATCACATTGGTTTCTGCCCTCGAGGCAGAGCTGTCCTTAGAACAAGATGGAATAAGGAAAACTCCAATCTGCATTTAATAACTTTATTATCACTATGCAGGTTACAAAGGACACACAATACATACTTGAATCTCTAATTAGAACAAGCAAAAGAACACCATGTAAAATGCTGAATTTGTATCTATTCTACATGAACTGGTGAGATTTAACACAGAACACGATGATGAGTAATGAAATCGGCTGTTAGAGCAGCAAACCCTACAACTGGGTTTGTCAACAAGGGTATCCCTGAGAGAAAGTATGGGAAGGAATCCATCAACTTGGGTGACCCAGTTCTGGTGGTAAGGAGGGAAAAAGGTGACCACCTGACCCTCTCCGTGTTGCCTGGCCAGGAGGTGACCTGCCTGGGTAGAGCTCGCAGAGTGGCCGCCATCCATTGTCACATCCTCCTAACACTTCCTTAGTCCCTAAGGCAACACCTCAGCTTTAAGAGTCCTCTCTCTCCTGTAGCTTGTTCATCCATTTCGCTTACTCTTACTATAGAGGGTCAACTCAAGGACACTCTAAGACATTATTTAATAAGTACCTTTTTCATTTGTTTGTTGTGATATGAGCACATATAGTATATTCTCTTGTGCATCAGCATTTCTCCACATCACTTCTCCTCCTGGCTGAGTTTGCTTTACAGGGCAGTGTTATTGATCCTGACAGAGCTTATCTCAAGGAAGCCCAAATACAGCAGGCTCCCGTGACGAGCAGGCGGTTCAACAGCACTGAAATATAAATGGTAAGCCTCCCTCGCTGACATTTCCTACCACACACACAGCTAACTGGCCTGTCCCGCCCTCCCCAGTTAGCATGCTTGTGTATGTGTGTGTGTGTGTGCATGTGAGTATGTGTGTGAGTATGTGTGTGAGTGTGTGTGTGTGGGGTGGTGGGGTGGGGGTGGTAGAGAAGACAGAAATTCTGTGTGTGTTTTGTGTGTGTGAGACACAAATGAGTGTGTCTGTGTGTGTGTGTGTGTGACACAAATTAGTTCTGTGTGTGTATACGTGTGTGTGTTTTTGTGTATTTGTGTATCTGCATGTATTTCTTTGTGAGTATGTGGGGCGCCATACGTGTAATGTAACACCCCCTGTTCCCTAGCTGTCGCTGTGGTTAATTGAAATGTACATTTCAGGCTAGCTCAGCTCACCTTGCCCGCCCGCTACCCCCAGACACGTTACACTGGTGTGAGCATTACAACTGCTGGGTAATGGGACACAAAGTGGGGGATAGGGTGACGCATCCAATCCCACAGAGCGCAGCTCCGCAGCCCCACTTGGCATTGTGTTGCAGATTAAAATGTGTCCAGCCAGGGCCTGGTAGCATGGGGGCTCACAGTGAGGGCTTGGATGGACACACTGTTTCCTCTTCCGGCCTGAAGTGAAGACTATTGATGAGCAGTGAGTGAGGATGTCCCTGGGTACATCTCAATAGTGTAAAGTTTATTCCTCTCCTTGTCTGCTTTCCATCACCTTTATAATGACCTAGAAACCAATGACAGGTGAAAGCAATTTGGTGGATGCCTAAAATAAATGTGCTTTCACCTGTCCAATTCTTTCAGTGTGAATGAAAGAAAGGAGACCAGGAGAGGAAGCTGTGTAGGACTATTGAGATGCTCTCCTTTCAATTCCCATTTCCTTACTCTCTCTCCTCATTCTATTGGTACTCCACAGCTCCCCCTGTCCTTGAGTATATCTAAAAGGAGGGCAGAGTAAAAAGGTTTCCCCAGTTTTCATCAACATTTCCAAACCTCATTGTCGTGGTTATCTAAGCCAAACACCAACAATTACAACTATACCAGTCATATTGGTCACAGCAGGGTCAATTTTGCAACTAGATAGCAATTTATTTTGATCAGTTTCAACAAGGCTTTTGCCAGGTTATGCCCAGTCTAGTCTATTCAGATGACGTTGCACATACAGTATACAGTATAGG